TTTTTTTTTTTTTTTTTTTTTTTTGGTTTTTTTTTTTTTTTTTTTTTTTTCCCTCTTTTTTTTTTTTTTTTTTTTTTTTTTTTTTTTTTTTTTTTTTTTTTTTTTTACTCAGAGACTTTTTGACTTGGATTAAAACAATCATTAATACGTATAAGCATTTAAAAAAACAAAAAAAGATATATAACAAAAAAGGAAATATTAAGATTCCGAATCAGTCTAAACGTTGAATAGACATTGATATACCGTGATATAGCATTAATATGGATAATATGATCAATAGTAACTACCGAATAATTGGCATTAGCTGGTGGTTTTCTGCATGCATAAATGCAGGCCGGCTGTTAGCCAGAAGCTTTGTAGTCACATGAACCTGGCTGGTGGTTTCCCGCCTGCATAACGCAGACCAGCTGTAAAGAGACGTTTAAGCTGCCACAAAATGGCAGAATTCTACTAAGGGAGAGTAGAGCAGGGTGCGAAATTGATTTGCTACTTGAAGGGCTGCTGTCATATTATATATATTTGCCTGAATTGGTAATTTCATTAAGGCTGTTTTTAGTCGATTTTTAGGTTAACGTCATCCCCCTCTCGCTTAAATGTCTCCCCCGAAAATTAAACAAGCTAATCACAATGTAGCATAAACATGTGATTAATATTGACCAATGAGATTTGATCAAAAATTCTTGGGACTATATGTGTTTGTTTAATTTCCCCTCATGCCTGAGCCTAAATATCAATGTTAATCTAAAAATCAACTAAAAGTGGCCTAAGCATAAATCATTTTAGAACAGGGTGAAACCTGAGTTGCGAAATAGTGAAATCCGCTTTGTAGATTTGGTTAGAGTGAAATCCATATTTTATTATGTTTTTTATTATATAAAAGCAGATTTCACCCTTGTGTGATGATCATAGAGGGTTTCACTATTTCGCAACTCAGATTTCGCCCTGTTGTATTATTTTTATATACTAACAAAAAATTCTAAAAATTACTATTAGTTTTTATCAGAATTCTGTGGTATACAGGTTAACCTTCTTATTTGTGACTGTAAAATTTTTAACCTTCATATCATATAAAAAAATTTTGACATACCAGGAATGAAGTTTTTCATAAGTAAAAACAGAGAGTATGGTTTACAAAAATGTTCAAGGATGTTTATTCCCAAACTCTTGCATTTGACTGAGTGCCACAGTTGGCTGTGATTTTTAAATATGTAAATTTAGATAATTTCAGATTTGCATTTAATTGAAGAAACCTTTTAAAGTGCTACCATGTGACTAAACAGTGGCAAATTTTAGTTGCTTAGCCATTGGTATACCAACATCTTTGCATTTAATAATTGGTGTTATAAAAAAGTTTGTTCTATATAGTCAATATATAATCATATCACATTTGACACAATCATTCGTTAATTAATGATTGACATTTCTATTTGCAATTCTAACTAATGAAACTTTCAATAGATATTTATTTGATCTAACAACTTTACTGTGAATTTTAAGATGTGTAGAAGTCAAAGCTGTCATCTAAAAAATTAATTTAATATAACCAAATAAAACTAAAATTTTTGATACTCAACAATTTAATCTCATAATATTATTAATAAATCAAACACTTAAAAAAATAAAATTTTAGACTTTTTGATCTATCACTTATTAATTACCAACTTCAATCTAATATCATATATATTTTACTAATTAAAATTTTAAAACTAAACTTAAAACCACAAATCTAATTTTTTTGATTTTCACAATATGAAATTTTTAAACAAATCTGACTAGCTCTCTTTTTTTATAAAAAACCTACTCTGTTATTAAAACATATAAAAATTTTTTTACAAGTTTTCATATTATGAAAATCAATTAATTAATTTTGCATCACCTGATACATATTTTAATATCTAATTTCATGTATTCTTATAAAAAATACTCATTTTCATTATAAATAATTATCAATTACTATACTTAAAATAAGTATATTCTTAATAGAAATATGCAAAATTAGATATAGTAATAATTCAAAAGCTTGAAATCTTATTTCTTTTTAAAAACACTCAAATATTATATCAATCAAATAAATAAATAAAAATAAAATTACTCTTGGGCTTATACTATTATTATAATGATTAGATACAATTTTACCTCTAATAGAAAAGTATTCATTCTTTTGAAAAATCACTTGTGAATCAGGATCTCTCTCTTCAAAATTTACTAGTAAAAATAAATTAACTTAATCTTATTATCTTCATCTCTAACAAAAAAGAACTGATAGCCCATACTACTAATAGATCATCTTTTTAGTTTCTTTAACAACCTTGATTTTAATAATTGTATCTGCATTATAAGGCATAGCTCAATAATTTTTTTTAAAAAAATAAAATATTACAAAAATGTCTACTTTTCTTGAAGAATTTATATTCAATTGTTATATAATACTATTAAATAATAATATGTTTACCAATAAAATTATAAATACAAGTAGTCTATATAAAACACATTATATAAAAATTCATTTTTACTTATATATATATATCTACAATACATGTATATAAATAGCTATATATTATATTTATCAAAATTTTATATTTTATTAATGTGCTATATAAATATTTTTATTTGACTAATTCTTATAATCATGAATTTATTTCTTTCTGTTATTTTTTTATGTTACAAAATAGTCATATTTACTTGAATTAAAACTCAGTTAGCCAATTATAATATTTAAGATATTAGTTATACAACAGTTAATATCATAAAATTTGTTTTGTCATGGCAAATGATTGGCTGATGTGTGTTGCATAGTGACATATTTTAGCTGATCATTTGCTTTGGCAAAACAAATATTAATGTTATTTTGCAATTATAATTATGATTTATGAGTTGTGGTTGGTTAATTGAGTTTTAATTTAGGATTGTTGTGCTTACATAATAATGTACAAGAAATAACAAGAAGAAAAAAATCTATAATTATAAGAGTTTGTATAATAACATAAATTGTTAAATAATACTATTATTTGGCAAATTTTTGAATAATAGTAATTTAGTTCAACTAGACAAATGATTGGCTGACATGTGCCACTTTGCAGCACATGTTTATTTGCCTGTTTGAACCAAATTACTGTTAATCAATCAAAATAATATACTGAAATAACAATATTTGAACTATTTAATAAGCTATGCTTGATGCACCAAGTTGTAAGACAAGTTTATTCAAATGGTTCTGGAACAATGTGGGTTGTGATAATTCTGCAGAGAAAGTAGAAAATATAGAGAAAAAGGTGGTAAGTATAGATAGAGAAACAGTTGATGAAGAAGGTAAAACAAATATAAGTAAATTAGAAATAGAAAACTTATCCAAAGCCTTAATATGGAAGAAGATGGAAATGATAGAGTTCAAGCATTGGAATATCGCCAAAAGTCTGCAAAGAAAAATGTTAGTAGTAAAGGTCATTGTAATGATAAGAAAAATAAAATTATAAGGAATGAAAATGAAGTATTTATCTGTTACCAAGATGCCAATATTACCAATAAGGATGAAAAAGAAATACTTGAGGAAGATTCGAAGAATGTTGAATGTGGAGAATCGGTTGAAGAATCTAAATTGGAAGATAATCATAGATTAGTATTTGACTGAGAAAAAATAATTGAAAGTAGTAATCCAATATTCAACATACCTTTGAGATAATTAACTTTGAAACTATGCTGAAGAAATCTGATAGTAAAAATGCCATAGTTGGACTTAACAATAATCTAGTGATGGATGATAATGATGATTATTTAGATCATAATCAAAATTATGTAAAGCATAACGATAATAAATTTAGCAATATACCACAATTATATTGTGAAGAAAAAAATTTAAGCCATGCTTTATTTGATCAATTCCTGTTGAACCCTGCAAGAACAAATCGATTTATGACATCCAAAATTACAGTTTGCACTAAACTATTTTAAGAAAAGGTGAAAAACACTAGTCATACCAGGTTGTAAATAAAAGTAAAAAAATTATCGAAATGTCTAAGTTATCTATTCATTATCTAACACGTCCTATGTGCACACTGAACATTTTTTGTATAGATTATTCGATCACTTTCTAATCATGTGATATATCAATTTTTTGATCACTTTTCTGATTTTATTTTTTCTTACGTAGGAAGTTAAAAAAAGTAATTTAGAGAATGAAAAAAAAACAAACAAGGGTAAAAAGAAAATAAATGGTGAGCAAAAGTTAAAATTAAGCAAAATAAAGAGTTAAATGATTAGAAAATTTAATAATATATACAAAAAATGGCAGTGCTTATGTGAGACATTGCGGATAAAAATGTTATCAGTTAAGTTGTAATAAAAATTGATTATTCGTAGGTAGGGATGTCATAAGCTTCACTTGAAGCTAGCCTTAGCCACAGTTTGAAGCCAAGCTTAAGGCTGTTTGAAGTTGATTCTTTGATTAACGTCAACTTTTGAGCTCGGACAGGGAGGGTATAACAAATTAAACAAATTAAACAAAAAAATTAAACAGGCCAATCACAAGACAATTACTGGATGAGATTTGATTGGATAACATTGTGATTGGCTTGTTCGTTTTTGGGGGATAGCCAGGAGCAGTGTTGGAAATTCATAAGATAGTATGATAATTTTTGTGAATATACTCTGTTTTTTATCATGTTCACATTAAAAAAAATAATGATCATAAATAAAATTTTATTAATTAGATAAAAATTATTTATGTTCACAAATGTGAACATAAAATAAAAAACAATTGATTTTTTTAAAAAATTTATGCTCTTGTGAACGCTGTGAACATATGATTTCTAACACTGGCCAGGAGGGGGGGTTATGTTAACCGAAGAATCAACTTCAAATGGCCTAAGTTAAGCCAAGCTAATAGCTTAAGCTATAGTTTAAATTTTGCTTACAGTTAGTTATAAATGAATAACTATTGATTTTAGTTGTAGCTAATAGTTTAAGGGTGCTCTCAAGCATCTAAATCAATAGGTTTGAGTTCAATTTTTAATTAGTGGAAAATAAATTATTTGATCAAACGAGTTCATTATCGCGATGAAAAAAAAAAAAATGGTCAGAGACCATCTTTTTTTATCATAGAGTTGTGCTGATTGGCTAAAATTTAATATCCACATTTCGCAACGTGAATTTTCAACAAAATTGCTGTAAGGTTTACTTCAATTAATCGTAGTACTTGTGCATGATCTCTATAGATAGCTAATTACACTGAGAGAGATGCTTGAGAGCACTCTAAACCATAACTTAGTTATAGCTTGACTATGGCTTTTTTGAGCTAAGCTAAGCTATCCAATCCAACAACATCTCTATTCATAGGGAACAATATAAATTATGTGGCTAAGCTACGTGATTTATATAGTTACCTAATGATAAATCAGTTATCATCCACAACCTAACCAATAACAAGTATAAACTCGTTTTGACATTAACAATATTAATATCGTACAGCAAGAACTGACAAATATAGATGTATCATAATACAACAAAATTACATGAAAATGCTATTCAATCAGATTTACGTATTCGGATACACCCTTTCATTTGCCACTTAACCATGCATTTCATTGCACTCCGTTCTTGGTATAAAAGTGAAGCATTAATTCTAATAAATGGAAGAACCTCATTATCATAATAAAGTAACATAGACTAATGATATTCTCTCCTTAAGTACAACATCTAGGGTTGTAAAAATTCGTTCTTTCCTTTTTCGGTTCTATTTAATATTTCTTAATTATAAAAAAAATCTAAATCATCCTCAAAATGTTGTCAAAATATTACATATTTAATTTTTAGTATTACTTTGGCTCTTATAAACCATGCATTTAACATTCCCGCAAACTATCTGAATAAACGCCAAACCAATTGTACACGTAAGTTTTAGGTACTTTTTTTGTTAACAGCATCAGGGTACATAAAGTAAAAGTAATGAATACATATAATGGCAATCATGGAATTAGTATTCTTGGAGGATTAGTTATTATGTTATTAGTTCTGAACGAATTTTACCAAGAAAATAGCATTTAAAAAAATAGGTTATGAATTTGAATTTATTTAAATGTTATCAGTTACATAATATCAAAGATTCACTAAATAATAATTTAGAAAAGTATAGATATGAAAGTATAAAATACGATATAAAATTAAAAAAAAAGTATAGAACTGAAAGTATATAATGTGATATAAATTTAGTCTATTATCGTTAAATTATTTTCTGTAAAAAAGTCGTAAACCTGTTTCCTTAAATATTGTTTACAAGCTCTGGTTATGCTTTTTGCTAATTCAGTATTTTGCACCTTATCATGAATCTGATTCCTTGCTGATTCCCGTTTAGATTTAGAAATATTATCATCTTTTGAAAAAGTATTCACAAATGCGATAGCAAAAAAAGAGACCAAAACCTCTTTATCAAAGTGCCTTGCACCCCAAGCATCAATATAATAATTAAGAGTTTTAATGGTTTTATCATCAAACATAATTTTAAATTTTCCAGAATCGACACTAACAATACTATCATTTTCCGATATAGATTTGAGTAAGCAATCGATATCATTTTGAAGTTTAAGAGTTCTATAAATGGGTTCCATTTATCATCATCTATTTCAAACATGTGAATGATCATTAGTTTATTATAAAATTTTATACCAAGTTTGATCAAGTGATCCATACAAGTGCCTTTTAATTGTTCAAACTGGATTTTGAAAAGATCGAGTTTATCATCAATCCACTCTTTCGCTTTTTCATAAACATGTTTCCATTTATTATAGTAATCATTAAAAACGGTTTCCAAGTAAACCATACCAAATGCGGTCTCCCAAATTGACAAATCTAATCTGATTTTTTTTCTAGTAAAACTTTCAATAGATTCTTCGAACGTTTTGCCTAGTTCATTTTTTTTAAGTTGAAGTTGATCATTAATGATTATATCATATAAGGGTAATGAACCATCGATCTTTTGAGACTGTTCAATCTTGTAAACATTGTTAATAATCGCATTCATTTGAAGCTTTTTAAGAACCAACTCTTTATGATATTTGGTAATTTCAATTTTAGTGATAGTTATTTGTTTGAATTCAAAGTCAAGTTCCTCCTCAGGCTTTCTTTTTTTGATCCACCTTCCTTCTAATTCTATTAGTTCTTTATAACCTGAGTTATCATCAGAAACAGCTGGTAAGGAGAATGGTTTGTCAGAAACAGTTTTAATAAGTTCTATAACTTCTTTTAAACTTGATTCACATTGATAGCCATCACTATAGGGATGATATGAACCATCTTATCAAATGAAAAAAAAGAACGGCAATTAATGTAAAATCAATTAATGACTAAATTTAGTATATAGTATTGATAATCATATTTAACACTGGATACTATTCAATTTACTAAAAAAGGACTTATTGAATAATTCCCACGGCACTATATGGTATATTTTATACCACATTCAATCACTATAACAAAAAGTATTCTACCAAGTATAGTTGAACGAATCAATACACTCAAGTTCACAAACTTACGTTTCACGTAAATTTTACACTTCAATATATATACGTATGAACATATGCATCATATAATATTATTTAATACGGCTGATCACCTTCCAATCATATTTCAGATTTTGCTCACTAGCTATTCTAGTTGTCCGTTAACCATACAACTTCGTAATTTTCATTACTATTAATAAACCTAAAAAAAACTTGGTTTTCTAACAAGTTTGTTTTGTGAATGTAGTTGTCAAAATAACTACGTTATTATTGTGTGCGATATATATATAACTGCTTTTAATTTATTATGCTGTAGTCGCTGTACAATAATGCAGGAAAATGCCAATATTGATCTAGACACCATAGCCATGCTGTTTACTTTGATTTTTTTTTAAAAAAAAAAACAGAAATTACGTACGCACGTACGGTACAAGAAATCTAAAAACCACAATCTCTTTATAGAGACAATATAAACAAATTATTTCCTAAATTATTGGAATCAATAAAGTGTGTACATAAATACTTTATTGAAATCGATAATTTAAGAATGCTTAATTTCAAATGTCTAGTTAATTATACGTTATATTAGCTCTGGAGAGACGCATATTGAAATCAAATATTTTTTAAATTATTAACTTCCATTAAGTTGAAATCAAATATTTCTTAAATTATCGACTTCAATAAAGTATTTATGTACGCACTTTATTTGATGCTAACAATTTAGGAATTACTTGTTTATACGTATTTGTCTCTATCAGGAGATTTTTATATCAAGCAAAGGTCAATGGAATGGCAAATATGGTGGTCAGAATTAATATGGCTAAATTCTTGCAGTATGTGATTTGTTATAAATGTACGTAAAGAAATAACTAGCTGTTGAACAAAGACTTTTGATTTTAAATTATTGGTAAACCTAAAAAAGAATAAAGTAATAGTGAAATTTTCACATGTGCAAGGTACATACCAACAAAAAATAATTAGTTGTTATTATACATAAGAGATATATGCTGAAAATGCAAAGAACAGTATTGTTTAAAAAAATATATATACCCAAGGTCCAAACACAGAATTTTTCAATTCAAACAAAATTCGTTGCAAAACTTATCGACCTCGAAAGTGAAATTATTATAAAACTCTGTTGCTTAATTTACAGCATGTCAGCAGGTATTTTATGAATTGAAAGTTGTATAAATAAATCATGATTTGAAAAATAAAGTATTGAATACTACTATACTTTCAGTCAACAATGCGCTACTTCAGTTAGAATATAAAAGAAATCCTTTGGAAAAACACTCTTTTCTTTCGCAACTTTTTAAGGAAGATAACCGGACATTCTGTAAAATTGTTAATAATGATAAACTGGTAAAATATTATTCTATTCTATTTATATCAGTTTTTTTTTGTATTTATTTTTACTTGAAAAGTTGAGATTGAAAAAAAAACTTTGTATTATTAGGATGATCATCTTATCTATGTTTCAGAATCTCATCACGTTCATTCAAGTGATCAATCAAGATTGGATAAACTGGAACAATGAGTCACAGACTCAATCATCGATGATCTGTTGTCACCACATATTGCAGTAATCAATAATTACCAAGATTTTGCTGACAAGTTCATTGTAAAACTCCATAGTCACTTGAAAACATCAGAAATTAATATTAGGAATGCTTTGCCAATCACTATTGATCTTAACAATATTGATGAACTAGATAAGGTCATCAAATCATTGATTGAATTGTATCCTAAGCTACATATTCTATATATTGATAGAAATGTGGATATTATTTTAATTGCAAGATATTTTTTTTTTATAAAAGTTTTAAGTTTTATTAATTTATTTTTTTTATCTTTAGGAT